CCTAGCAACAAACACATGCTGGGAGAGTCCTCTACCACTGAGCCACAAACCCAGCCATAAAGTTGTGATTTGGAGACTGCTCTGCTGCACAAAACCGAAATGGACACAGATTCTTGCATTTTAAAATTATTATTATTATTATTTGTTTTGTTACTGATAATTAAATCCAAGGGCACTTAACCACTGAGCCAGATCCCCAGCCCTATTTTGTACTTTATTTAGAGACAGGGTCTCCTGAGTTGCTTAGTGCCTTGCCATTGCTGGGGCTGGCTTTGAACTCAAGATCCTCTTGTCTCAGCCTCCTCAGCCACTAGGATTATAGGTGTATGCTATCATGCCCAGCCCAAAATGGACATAGAATCCAACTTTTTGAAGCCCTAACATTCCTGATTTCCTATGTATGTAAACTTGAGGGGCAAAGAAAAGTTCTGATATGAAATTCTGCTGAAAATATAGTGTTGTCACTGGGAACAATTAAGAAATGAACAGTTTTGCAGATTTGGCTGGCATGTTTTTTTGTTTTTGTTTTTTAACATTTTAACTATAGAAACAGACCCAGTCCCCTGGCATAGAATTATGTAGACATGTCTCTGCCCAAGAATTTATGTCCTGGGTGTGGGCCTCGACTAAGGAGGTCAGGAACTCCCAGATGAACACCCATGGAAGGACGGGGCATGCTTCGTATAGGTCCACATCTTCTTTCAGGACTGACCCCCAATTGTGGGGAGCCACTCCAAGTGCACACAACTTTAAATCCTGATGCAATAACTCGTGACTTTCCCTTGCTTGGATAATAAGGTGTGGCTCTGAAAGTGGCCCTAGGAGTAGGCAGCACCCAGAGGGGTTGAGCTACTCTCACCTTGTAATCCTACTCCTTGCCTCATTTGAATGGCTTCTTCCCAATAAAAGAGTTCAGCACCTGTCCCTCCATCTCCCTTTCCCAGGACCCCTAAGGTCAGAGGAGCCGTCACAGGACCCAGAGAGAAAGGTATTTGTCTGTCTCTGTGTGGTCATTTCATGCAGCCCAGTTCCCCTAGAGTGACCCTGAGGGTTTAGTTGTGGAATGCGACAATTGGCGCCTGAACAGGGACTCCAGGGTGAATTTTAGAAATTTAGTGGGTTTGGAATTTCCTCCAGAAGTTAAGCGCCCTTAGGATTTCAAAGTATTGTGGGCTGAATTGTAGAAAGTAGGTGAATTAGGCAGAAGAAAAATCTGTGATAAAAATATTTAATATCTGGGAATATTTCATCTTTAGATAGATTTAAAAAAAATTATTTTTGCAATTCTAGAGACCCTAAATAAATGTGAAGAATTATTAAGATGAATAATGGGATATATTGTTAATTCCTCTCCCATGGGAAAAGTGCTTTTGTGGACTTTTTTTGGATTGTTTTTGTGAATCTTTGTATTTTGAAATATTAGGTAAAGATTTTTTGGGTTTATGTACTCGAAGTCTGCACTTGGAGAGTGAGAAAAAGGGAAGAAGGATTCTATGATGAGACTTGATACAAGGATTCTTTACCTGTAGAGAAGTGAATTTTGTTTTTCTATTGTTTTGTGAATATTCAGTGTATACTGGACCTCTGCTACATTCTTGTCCTACAGATCAGAATGGCTGGAACTTAGCCGCTGCTCTTTTGGGGGTCTGTAACTCAACTCACTGCCTGCAGTGCTTTTAACCCTTAAATGACCTGGCCTGGGTGCCAAACGCAGATTGCCTTAAAATCTGATAGTAACACTGGCGTCTGCCCTTAAAACTCACTTTTAAAGTGCCACGTGCTGTAAGGGAAAACCCTTGCTGCAGCAAGCGCAGGTGGCCGACACAAGGCAAACTACTTCCCACAGGGTGGGGGAAAAAAACAAATCATAGAAATGCAACCGGCTAGAGAAGCTCAAGGTGCCTCTGCCCCTGACACTGGGCAGTCAGCTCCAAGCTGTTTCCATCACTGTGGTAACCGGAGGAAGCCTGGCTGGCGGAGCAGGCTTCTTGGTCCCGCCTCCCACATTTTCACAGGCTTCCCACTGGTCCTTGCACTGTCACTCAGACAGGACTTCTGGTTCCGCCTTCCAGCCACTAGCCTGTACTTCCACCTGTAAATGCTAATGAAAGATATCTTTTTCAGGCAAAATCTAATTCCACAGATTTCCACATTGCAGCCCTGAATTTAAGTTATTTATGAGCTAAATAACCTGATGATTTTTTTCTCTATGGTTATGTTACTAAATAATGCTATTAATGGGAATTATCCAAAATATGCTTCTTTATATTTTGCTTTTAATTTTGAAGGTTATGAAGATGTATTTGCTAGCCTCAGGAACAAAAGCCGGCAATGTTCCTGTGATAATCAAAAAGTCCTTATTGTCATTCCTGACTATATAATTACAAGAAATAAATATATACACAAGGATTTTATTACGTGATGTCATGTATATAAAAAAATACACTACTTATTCAAGGAAAATTAAAATGGATCCAAATATCTTAAGAACCACGTGGTTACATAAAGTTTATACAATTATAAGTTATGCTCTTATTCCTGGTATATATTTTTCTAGGTATTTAGATAACCTATAATTGTTAATACATAAAATAATATATCTAATTGTTTATCCATAAAATAATTAACATATTTAATTGTTAAATATATATTTATCTAATCATTTTTCTTCAACAGAAAACACATAATTTAGATATTTCTAATACATGCATTTACCTAATGCTCTGCCTTTTAGTTAGATATTTGAGATAGATATATTTTACTATAAATTTGCTTTCAAGAGATAATATAAACATCAAGTAATTTCTCAGATTATTGTACAAACTTTATAAGATGATAAACAAATATAATTCTGTCTACAGAAGTATCCAAGGGCTTTAACTATATTTTCTTTCTTTTTTTTTTTAATATTTAGCTTTTAGTTGGGCACAATATCTTATTTATTTTTATATGGTGCTGAGGATTGAACTCAGGGCCTTGCACATGCTAGGCGTGCTCTCTGCCGCTGAGCCACAACCCCAGCCCTTTAACTATATTTTCTTTGAGACATTTCTTCTTATCAAGGTACAATAATTTGTTTAGATTCTAAGGTTTTCAGAAGTTGCACCAAAGTATAATCAGGAAAAATTCTAAAAGGAAAAGAAGATACTTTGTTCAACAGAGAGGAAGCACATATTGGAGGTCCTAAGAAGAAAAAAGAAATCATGTTTGGGTAAAACAACGACTTTATATTCTAGATTTTAATGATAAAACAGTATTTTCCTAAATAGGAAAATATTTATATCATTATCAAGACAGATGATATAGGAAGTTAAAACAATTGAAAAAGAGATTTATATGTACTGGACTGGCTATAAAAATTTTAACCAATTAATTCAAGGATATTTCAGACTATTTCCCTAATTTTACTATGCTGATATGAGCTAAAATATTTGCCCATATTTTGACAAGATAAAGACCTATTAAAATGTTAAGTTTATTTCCTTTAAGGAAGGTCTTTATTGCCTAAGGATTCTTACTGTTTAAGGCAAGGATTAATTTTGGTGAATAAATTTACATCCCTGATTAAACACTAAATACATTAAACTGCTGACTTAGATCCCAATTTTGACAGTTCTCCTTGGAGACTAAATTTGATTGATTCAAAGACACTGATGATTCTTGCATATTATTTTTGTTTGTTGAATAGTTGTGAGATTTGGGAGAATATTTTATTAGGATTAATGTTCTCCAAATTAAAGTCGTACATTGGTTTTGAACAATAAAAGTTACAAACCCTTCAATTAAATTTTTAAAAAAGTTGCAAACCTTGTTGGAAATTGGTATTACATAAGTTCTCTGATTGGACCTAGGATCCATGAAACATTATATGATATTTATATATTACTCCCTACACTGGGAAGTAAACTTAATCATATTTTCTAAAAGACAACTAAGAGATACTTAATTAAAAGATAATATTCTAAAATAGACTGATTTTTTGAGATCTTCTCTCAGTAAGAGATTGAGGGTTCTTTTTAAATTGTCCATTTACACATAATATCAAAATGAATCAACTGATCTAGATACTAAAAAATTACAGTGATTAATAAAATATGTCTCATTTTCATGTCTAACCTCAGTTACTACTAACAGAGAAGGCCTTTACTCAATTTTATTAAATAAAGAAAAGGATGAAAACAGGACCCGTAGGCACATACTAGACCCATTGTAATACTGAGTCTTCCTGCTACGGATCAAGATTTAGTCAGTTAATCAGATTTCAAAGGAGAGGTTAAACCTGTCGTGATGATAATGACTGAGTGACCTGGCCCAGGAAGGTCAATCCCCAGCTGCAGAGTTTATAGTCCAGCAGCTTCCGGGGCTTGTCAGGTTAAGTGAAAGCCTGTGGACCCACTTCTCAGGTCCACCTTTAGTATCCTGGGAAGTCCACCCCGTAACTAGATTAGCTGTACTGATACACAATCACAGACACAGCCTACCCATTCCAAACCAACCTGCATCTGCTCTGGCTCCCACCTTCCCTGCTGGTGTGTCCTGAGAGTTACTCCAGAGTCCTCTGGGCTTCAGAAAAACCCAAGCTAAATTGGGTGTGGTGGTAATAATCCCAACAACTTAGGTGGAGGCAGGAGGATTCCAGGTTTGAGGTCAGCCTAGGCAACTTAGTGAGACCCTCTCTCAAAAAAAAAAGGGACTGGGAATGTGGCTTGATGGTAAAAGGCCCCTGGGTCCAATCCCCAGAGCCCAAAATATATAAAGCGTTGGTAACAGCTTCCTTGTCTTTCAGCATATGGAACGCCCCCAGATATGCAATCCATTTTTTTAAGTAGGTGGACATAATGCCTTTATTTATTTTTTGTGTATGTGGTGCCAAGGATCAAACCCAGTGCCTCACTCATGCTAGGCAAGCACCCTACTACTGAGCCACAACCCCATCCCCTCCTTTAAAAAAATTTTTTTTGAATATTTTTAGTCGTTGATAGACCTTTATTTCATTTATTTATACGTAGTGCTGAGATTTAAACCCAGTGCCTCACACATGCCAGGCACGTGTGCTACTGCTGAGCCCCAGCCCACAATCCTGGTCTTTATAAAACTATCACATACAGGGCCAGGCATGGTGGCACACGCCTGTAATCCCAGTAGCCCAGGATACTGAGGCAGGAGGATCATGAGTTCAAAGCCAGCCTTTGCAAAAAGCAAGCCACTAAGCAACTCTGAGTCAGAGATAGTCATAGAACCACCACCAGCTTCTCAGCTTCAGTCAGGCCTGTGGCCACACACAGGTCAGAGAGGCTCGCTGAAAATGGCTTAAAATAGAAGTTAAAGTCCGCCATTATCTGAGCGCATGGAAAATAGGGCATGATTTTGGGATTCAAGTGCATGTTTTCTTTCTTACCCTTCAGTGGCTTTCTGGGGTTGTAGTCCCCCTGGGAAGGGGGCCACAGTGCACCCGCAGGCCTCGGGGTGCCCACAGGGATGCCCGGGGCAGCCTTGCTGCCTAGGGACCCACATGCTGCTGTTGGAGCTGGCACCTTGGGGACCTCAGCGGTCCAAGAGTGGCACGCATCCCAGAATCCTGAGCACAAGTGGGGCTCACTGCCATCATGGAGGATGCCCAGAGTCAGTCTCCAGGACTCACTTCTATAAATCAGCAACGGCCACCGACAAGTGCTGGGGGCTGGGCTGCACCTTGGTCCACTCCCCTGAGATGCTGCCCTGACTGCTGTGGCCTGGACTCAGCCCATGACTCCCCAGAGGATACACACACAGCCCATTCAACGGGCAATGCAAGTGCAGGTGCCATGTCCACTTGACGACAACTGCCAAGGACGTGCCCTGGGGCAGCACCAGCCAGATACCTCCCAGGTACAAGTCTCTGGTAGTAAAGTTGGAGATCTGGGGCCCAGGCAGTGTCCCTCACAAAGCGCCCAGAGCCCCTGCCCCATGTACCTCCCACAGCCCTGCAGGCTTCCTCGGGGCGAGTCAGCACTGGGACAAAAGGAAGTGACCACGATTCACAGCTCCAAGTGCCACTGCACAGGGAGTGCTGAGGCACCAAGGGCAGGAGCTGCCAGCAGGAGCCCACCTGCCACTCCAGGAGCCAGAGCCAGGCCCTCGCTAGGTGTCCATGCTTCACCCTAGATGGTCTTCTGGTCACCACGTGCCTCAGAGATGATCTGAAACCAGAGTCTGTAACCTGGGCAGTGCAGCACAGAGGCTCTCCACCTGCAGGATTTTATTTTTCTTTGTGGTGTTGGGGATGGACCCGGAGTGTGCTCGTTAGGCATGTGCTAACCCAAGCTGCCCCCCAGCCCCACCACAGAACTCGTCAGTGAAGCAGCRCGACCCTCAGCGGGGTCAAAACCAAGGTGTTTCCCCACACACAAGGCTGGACCAGAGAGGTCCCTCCTCACAGCTGTCCGCAGGGCGGCAGGGCCATGTTTGAATCCTCTAGGGCCCAGTGCCCAGTCCCAAAGCTGTTGTCCTCTTGCTGAGTGAGTGCCATGAGAGGAGGACAAGTGGCTCAGAGGGCCCTCCATGGTGGACCCTGTTAGCACTCCATGGGAGTCTCAGGACAGGCCTGGCTTCAGTCTGGCTGCTGGGCTGTCTCTGGACCATGCAGCCACACGTGCAGGTGCGAGTCCTGGACCTGGGAACTGGGCACCTCCACGTGCATCCCTGACGGGGGAGCGATGTGCAAATACCAGGAGTGCCAGCTGCCTCTGAAGAGGTCGCCAACACTGACAGAGACCAGCAGACAGGCCCGCCACAGAGGCCTGGAAGGCTCCACAGGCACAAGGTGCAAATCTCACACGACAGGAAATGGGGCGGGGGTGAGGGGCTGCTGGGGAGAAGCCCTGGATCACCGAGGTGCGGTCGAAGAGCTGCAGCTATCTGGGCCAAGAGGGCTCTTCCCCCTGGGGTGTAGGCTGCTGGGCCACCTCCTCCTCCCCAGAGGCTTGCTGCTCCCTTTGGGCATCAATCCACCTCTGTGGTGGGATCATTTTCTTAGGCCCATGGGGCGGTGGGCCAATGAGAGCCTCAATGTCCTCATAGTTTATCACTTCCTTTTCCAGAAGGGCATTTGCCAGCTAGAAAGAACAAACACAGCGTTATGTGAGTTCCTGCAAAGTGCCTTTGAGAGCAGGATATCTGAGACAGGGACGCGTTGCAGAGAGCCCCTCTGCCCAGGACAGCTGGGACGGTGCTCTTTCAAAGGGCACAGAGGCACCAGGACAGCATGTGCGAGACCTCCAACCCCCCACCCCCCCTCCTGGCCTTGGGACCATCCTCCAGCTGCAAGCCTTATCAACTCTCTACTTCCCTTCCAAGTCTCTGCTGGCTTTCAGCAACTGCACAGTCCTAACCGGGCAAGTCTGCTTTACAGTCAGTGGGATCCCGACCTGCACCCATCCTCGTCCTCCCTGTAGTGAGACCAAGGCTACAGAGCAGGGCTGACCAACCCCATGCACCGATTCACATGCAGAGGCAGGTTTAGCCTGCAAATGAGCTGCCCACAGTGCTTGGTGAGGTAGGGGCTTGGGTCTAGGTCCCCCAACACCATTCCCAGCTGACAGAAGAGCCAGTTCAGTGTAACAAAACAAGAGGTGAAGAAACAAGTGCCCACTGACCTTCTACCTCTGAGGCACAAAGAGCCATCACCACCACCACATTCTGGTAGCAGTTATCAGGGCCCAGGATCACAAAAGTAACTCTACCTCTGGAACCATTCTCCCCAGAGCCTACCAACCCCACTATAAAAAGACATCAGGCTCAGTGGTACAGTGTTTGCCTAGCATTCAATTCTCAGCACCATATAAAAATAAATAAATAGAATAAGGGTATTGTGTCCACCTAAAACTAAAAAAAAAAAAAAAAAAGACAGACATCAAACAATCCCAACAAGGGAGGTCTCAAATCTTGGATAGCCAGGGTGGCCAAGAACAGGGAAGGCCAGGCATGGTGGGACACACCTGTAATCCCAGCAGCTCAGGAGGTTGAGGCAGGAGGATCACAAGTTCAAGGACAGCCTGGGCAATTTAGTGATGCCCTAAGCAACTTAGTAAGACCCTGTCTCATTCTAAAATTTAAAAAAAGGTTTGGGGAGGTTGCTCAGTGAGAAGACACCCCTGGGTTCCACCCTTAGTACCAAAAAAAGTTCATGACTACTGAAGCTGAGTCATGTGGCCGTGAGGGAAGAGCATGCTCTTCTATGGGGAGGGACTGCCTGGACACAGGACAGAGAGACTAGGCTGGGCTAGCTGGGGTTTGTGGGCACATTTGAGTGCTACAGGGAGAGGGAGGCTGTGCCAGGTGCCCGCTTGGCCCTCACCGCCTGCAGCTTGTCTAGGTTGTCCAGCAGCACCTTCTCGGTGTGTCTGTAGGCCTTGGTCACCAGCAGTTTTGCTTCCTGTGGAGGAAAGGGGCAGATCTGTCACAGAAAGGACAGCTGACTGCTGTCTACAGACTCATCCCCAACAGCCAGTTCCAACACCTAAGTGCAGGGAGGTAACACAGGCACACGCCTTCCAGCTCTCGTGACAAGCAGCGGTCTCCTGCTCACACCTGTGTCCAGAAGCCTGCCCACCTGTAGCTACTCACACCCTGCTGGCTGTGGCTGTAGGGGTCCCACCTGTCCTCTGCTGAACCCACAGTAGCCACATGAGCTGCAGCAGCTGGAGCCATCCCAGGACAGACCTGCACACCATCCTGGCCTGGCCACAGGCTGCAGGGTGGTGTATACTGGCTTTTGTTCAGTGCACTTGACATTCTCCACAGATTTACCAAGGAGACATGCTCAACGGGCCAGGGTGACACCAGCACTTGAGAGAAGCGAACCTGAGTCAGTCTGCAGCAGGGTACTCGGGCAGCAGTGGGCCTCCTGAGCGGGACAGCTAAACACYTGCAGCAGCCCCCGGGGCCCCTCTCGCTCAGCAGGGCTGGGGCAGGGAGCCTGAGCAGACTCACATGGTCCATCATCTGCTGGAGGCCCTGGCTGAAGGGGCGTCGTCCGATGCCCATGAAGCCCTCTTGTGCCTCGGGAAAGGAGACAGGCCCGATGCCAGGTGCCATCCCAAACTGCTTCACCATGGAGTAAGCGATGCGGGTGACCTTCTTCAGGTCATCCTGGGCCCCTGGAGTGCAGGATCAAGGAGGGGCACATTTCAGGAGCCCGTGGGGCATGGGGGCACCAGGTTCCAGGTCCCATCAGAGCCCATGAGGCGAGGCACTGCACTCCCCTAACACTTTATCCCTGAGAACTTTCACTGCAACGCAGATTACTAGGAGTCTGCACGGGTTCCTGCTCCTTAAGGGAGAATCTTAACACTCTCAAAAATGCTCTTGGGTTAGCCAGGTACAGGGCTGCATAACCCCAGAGACTCGGGAGGCTGAGGCAGAAGAACTGCAAGGCCAAGGCCAGTTTTARCAACTTAGTGAGACCCTGTCTCAAAATAAAAGGGGCTGGGGATGTAGCTCAGTGGTTCAACCCCCAGTGTAAAAAGGAAAAAAAGAGATTTTTTTTTTTCTAAAAACAGGGAGGGAG